TCGATGTAATTTACAAATGATTGACATGGAGACCCGAAGCCCCACACAGGATACAGAAACCCTTTATTGCCCGCACCTGAAAAAAAGAGAGAAGATCTAGATCGCAGCCTTAACTTGATGTAGAGAATGTGATTGATGGAATGTATTTGAAGAACTTGATCAAATTTGCGAGACAAAAGTTCTAGAAATTCCTGGCTGCCATACTTGAAGTGAACTTAGCTTAGCCACCCTTGGTTCTTTGTTAGTAAACTACTTTCTCTTCTTGGCAAACTGCTCTTTCTTCTTGAAAAGCAGCTGAGCTTCTTAGTTAAATGTAGGTGTGATTTGTCTCTATGTCTCCAAACTTCTTATCGCTTTGACTGGAACAGCTTCATGGGGAAATAAGGTGTCCATCAACGCAAAGCAATTATCATAAAAACTGACCCCACCCCCCAATCCAACGTTGAGTACTATATTTTTCTTTTTTTTAAAAGTCACAACCACATTTAATGCTCATTTTAGTGTGATGAATTTTGCTTTAATAACAAACGTTGTTAAAATGGGACCAAAAAGTACATTTGCAGTTTCCAAAAACTTTGGGGGCCATTTTCAAACTAATTTTACCTCGGACAACAGGTTTCCCCCACCTCCTTCAATCACAGTTATCTCGACTTCTATTCAATCAAAATGTATTTCATCGAACGACAAAACGAACGAAAAAGCGTTAAAATGATGCTAATATTATTTCTTTATGCCCCAAGATTGAATAGCGTCTGATTCCACAGTGTTGTGTGACTCATTTAGACTTACGCTGAGATGTACTCATCTGGCCTAGAACAAAACTTTACTGGTTTACTTATATTTTCTTTAGTTTTCCTGGCCTTTGTAACATGTCAATGTCGAGGGGAGAATCTTTGTGTGTTTGTTGTATCGCCTGTTGTGTTGTTTTTACCTAGTGTTTCTCTGAACCCCTCTATCCATCTTTTCCTGTTCCTGCCTATTCCTCTGTATCCACCTAGTTGTATGTCCTCGCTGCTGTACTCTCTTGTGTTAGCTTTGACAGATGCCCCAAACTACTTTAATATATAATTTATTTGGTGATTAACACCATATTATTCATCCCAACACTCACGCATCAAGGCCAAACATAGACCACGAACAAGACATTAGAGCAAAGAATTAGAACATGTGAAATGCGATGCCTTAGAAAAGCAGTAAGCAAGACCAGGCGAGACAAAATTAGAAACTCTGTAATCCGAGAAATGGTGGGCACAAATGATGTCATGCATCACATCCAACACCAAAGAATCAAATAATTCGGACATCTCCTACGATTCCCAACACACCATCCAACACAACGTGCCTACATCCAAAAAGTCGATGGCAACAAGGCTAGAGGGCGCCCGAGAAAGACCTGGATAGATGGAGTCAGGGAAACATTAGCCTCCCACGTCATCCCCCGGACCCATGCTCTCCGGCTGGCGACAGAGAGACGTCTCTTTCTTCTCGCGACACCCAAAAGGATATAAGCGGCGGATAAAAGAATGAAAGAAAAATTATGTTATGTAACTTGTTCTCCTACTATCCCATCTCTCACCCTGCCTCTTCTTGTGATGAGGAAATATTTGCTTGCTGGGCATCTCATTTCACAGGTGTTGATTTCACTGTAGTGACTCCAATTATTATATATTTTCCATGTTCGGGCTTGGTAATACAGTATTGAACTTACTATCATTGAGTTGATGCTTTTTTCAGTTGCAATGTTGAGACGCGAAAGAAATGGTGCCAGTTAGAGAGTCACAGCATTGGCCTTTAAAAGCAATCTGGTTTCTATTTTGCTTTGAACAATAACATCAGCAAAAGGTGAGTTTGAGGACAATACAAAACGTGAGTATACGGATAGACATTTTCCGGAAACTGCCATGATCGTACTTAGACATGAAATATAATATTCTATTGTCATGGTTGCCTATAGACTTGAATTAAAATATTATACTAGACAGTACACTGTCATGGTTACCACTCTTTGCTGTCCATAAAAACTATTCACACACTCTCACACACACACACACACACACGCACACACACACACATATGTATATATATATGTATGTATGTATGTATGTATATGTATATA